CCATCCTAAATTGTCAGTGACTCTGCTCGTTCTGTTTATTAAAAATCAAAGTAAGCATAAGTCAGGCTATTATATGCCATGTAGTCTGTCTGCCCAGAGCTTGTTGCTGACAGGGGCATGAGGCCAGATCTTGGGGGACATGAGAGTGCTCTCCATGCTACCACCCTGAGCACTGAAGCCCCTCCAGTAACCCATGTGGGATCTGTCATCCTGTTTTAGCTAATCCTTTCTTGACCTGACTTCTATTTCCAGACTGTACCACCTCTTGGGTTACTAGTTCTATTTATTGGCTTCCCCTTAGTTTCTGACTTAATGACTGGAGCTGAGATTCCCTTAAATATTACTCTCAAACTACCAATAGACAATGGTTGCTATTTATTAGACACTTTTGCACACCCCGCCAAGTGCTTCGCATGCATTATCTTATTGAAGAATAGTGTGAAGTGGATATTAATATTCTACTTTACAGATGAGACTAGGAGAGCTTTATTTAGCCAGTTGCTTGAGGTCACCCAGCTAGAGAGAAGTGGAGGCAGGATTTGAAACCAGGCCGTCGGTCTCAGGTACCCATGCTGCTGTTCTGGAGGAGGGAAGGCCAACATTGAACACGCATGCATTCTGTGGTGGCCAGCCAGGTTTTTCTGTGACAGACTGTGGCAAATGGTGAGGGTTTAGAGTCTTGGTGTTTTGTTGTTGTTTTTATATTTATTTTTTAAAAGATTTATTTATTTATGCATACAAGAACTGGGGTGCAGGCCAGAGGTGTGGGGGTGAGAGGATTCATCAGAGACAGAGTGGGGAGCAGAACAGGCAGATCTACTGAAATACACTGCTGAGGGGAACAGCGGGCAAGGCAGGAGAGGTCTGCTGCGCCATGTGGATCAAGCTCCCTGGCCGGGGATCAAACTCGTGCTGCAGTGGCTGCGGTTAGCTTCATAGTGCTGAGACTCAAGCCCTTGCACCACCAGGGAAGCCCTGTTTTTACATTTTAAAAGGACAGGTTTATTAGGAAAAGGAGAAAGAAAAAAAAGAGGCACCTGCATAGTCACAGGTGGGCAGGAGAGCTGCCCCTGCTGTTTGGCCTAGTCTTGTTTTTGAAGCAGTGGGTTGGGGGTGGGGGCAGGCTACTGCCTTCGCTGCATTCAGGTCTGGCCTACAGGATCGGGTGGACAACAGAAACTCCCCAGACATCCACGACTCTGACAGTGACTTGAGACAGCTCAGGAGAACAGAGAGGGTGTCGGAAAGCAGAATGTAAGGATGTTCCCACTTGATGGAAAAAATAATACAGGGAGAAGCTAATGACCTCAGTCTCCTCAACAGATGCAGGTCTCAGGGCTGCAGAGTCCACGGCAGCTGAATTGCATTCTGCCTGGCCCCCTTCTTGCCCCTGCTGGAAGACACAAATGCGTGCCCACGCCACCTAGCAGTGTCCCACTCCATCCAGAAAAGGGCCTAACATCTGGACTAGGGTCTGGTCCTGAAATGTACCCCTCATTAAGCAGAGTTTGGGGCGGCCCAGGTCTACCTCCATTTTTAAAGTTCCTAGTAATGTTTTTTAAAAAAGGAAGAAATGAAATACTGAATTGCTGAAACTGGTGTATATTTTTCAATGTTTAAGTTAGCAAATAACTCTTGCTAACACAAAAGCCAATAGTGTGAGTCACAAGATCTTTATGGGATTTATAGCTGATCACGATTCATAGTGCCCTAGAGTGAATGTGATCCATTCTGGACCCCTGAGGCTGCGCATGCGCATTTGGAGTTTAAGCCTCAGTAGTTGCCAAGGCCTGTGTTAATACCAGAGTGTGTGACTTGAGCCGCCAGCCTTCCTGGTCTCCCTTGAGGGCCACTGCCACAGAGAAAGGGAGACTCTACTGTTTCCAGGCAAGACTTCCACAGGCCAATGTGTCCCTCTCCTCCTCTCTGCCCTTTCTATGAAATTAACCTTTCAGATCAACATTAACTGATTTCAAAAGTCAAAGCCTCCCTTGCCCCAAAGGCAGGAGAGATGAGGAAGCAAGCGCTGTGGGAGGACCCAGTGCCTGAGGGGTTAATTGTATATTATTTCATTGCCCCGGGATGGTGGAAGCATCATTCACCTTGTTGGTGCAACACTTCAATGGCTCGTCCAAGGTCGCATGGCATGTGCAAGATTAGAACCCGGAACCTTGGGTTCTCACAGGAAAGAAGGGCTCCTTCCGGTTTTCAAGTCTGAGCTTGTCGTGAAGCCACTGATGAGCCCAGTGTGGGGCAGGGGGCCGGCAGCCCCTCTCCCTGTGATATTGGGGTGAGCTTTGACCTTTGTGATCTTCTCACTGTCTCCTCTGCTTCCCGTTTCTTCTCCTGGCTGCTTGGCCCTCCACTCTGCACCTCACTTATGATACTTATTTTTCCATTCACAGCAAAACTATTCACATCAAGGTAATTGATGATGAGGCGTATGAGAAAAACAAGAATTACTTCATTGAGATGATGGGCCCCCGCTTGGTGGAAATGAGTTTTCAGAAAGGTGTAGTACCTGGGCCTCCTCACTAACATTAACATTCTTCTCTCTTTTGCTTCCTTCTCCAATCCTTTTGTCTCCTCCTCCCCTTTTCTTCTACCTGTTTGGTTCACTTTCACTTGTTTCCTCTCTTCTTCTCTTTCACCTCTCCCTCTCTCCTCCTTTGCTCCTCTCTGCTCCCTGCTGTCCTAACACCTGCCAGCCTGTCACATGGTATCCTCGCGAAGGATGCTCAGGAGCCAGTGGTCTTTGTGGGATAAGAAAATGGACATGGGGGAAATCAGAGAGAGAGAGAGAGACAGAAGAGAGAGACAGAGGCAGACAGACAGACGCAGGTAGACAGAGAGCGAAGGAACCCCGAGTATACAGGGCTCTCTGCCTCTCTTGAATGGCTTAGTCCACAGGAAAGCACGAGGCCAAGCAGCAGCCCCCGGCAGGAGGGAGTTGATAGTTTTTGGATGTTGAAGACTCAGGTATTTGGATTTGGGTTCTATTTGTGGTTCTTTCCATTTCTCAAAGCAGGCCTCAGGAGCCATCTTCTCTGTCATAGCCCTGTTCTCAAGGGCTTTTCTCTCTCCAATGTTGATTGAGCTCAAGGTATAGGTCTGGGTTTCAGGTGCGGGGAAAGACCTCCCTGCCATTCTCTGGTTTCCCTGGGAAGACAGTCTAGGGGTGGAGGCAGATAGAGTAGTGGGAAGTGGATTCTGACTTGTGCAGGAGATTCTCCAGAAGGTCACAGAATTTCTCAGAGTAGATGGAGCCTTTGCCTTAAATGATCCCATACACCCCAGGCCTCCAACAGGCAAGCCAGAAAATCCTTTCTTGGACAGACCTGCTCCTCAGAAGGGAGCTGCCAGTGCTGGGGGCAGTGTTCCCTCCTTGACAGAATTGTCCGCCACCCCCTCCCAGTCATGCACTTGGCCACAAAAAAAATCTCATTCCTTTCCCACAGCAGGTTTCCTTGAGGTGGAAAAACAGGCCAGGTCCACATCTCATAGATAGCCTTAGGATACCACATCTAGGACCTAGGAAGTAAAAGCTTGACAGTCAGTGAACTTCGTCTTTTTTCCCACTGAACAAGGTATGAAAAGAGTCTCAGAAAGTACCCAAAAGGTGAGCAAAAATGTACTTGTAACACACACACAAAACACACCACACACACACTACACACAGCGTAGAACACACACCAAACACACAGCACACACCACACACACACCTGCAGTCCTGTGCCCCATGACCCACTCAGGTGGATCTTCCACTTTATCAACGGCAAGGCCGAGCCTGTCCTCACAGGGGCAGGTCCATCAGGGGCTCTGAGGAAACACTTGCAGCTACTGTTTGCCCTTTAGAGAGCATTTATGTCTGAGGCTAAAAATTAAAACCCCAGGAAATAACAATCAGGGTTGTGTACTAGAACCCACCAATCCCACTGTGGTTCCATGAAGGACCAGGAGGAGCTGCGGAAGGGGATTCAGGCCCACATGGCAACTTCCGCACTGGCCGGGCCAGCCTCGTGCCAGTCTTTGGTAGGGAGTGACTTTCAAGGAACCGTTGCTTCCCTGAATGACTTGCTTTTCAAAGACGTGATGCTTTCCTGAGGTGCCCAGAAGTGAACAGAAACCTCCTGTCCCTGAACCCCTGATAATCAGCATTTAAAGAAGCAAACCTTGGGCCATCACAGCTGAGTGACAGCAGCCCAAAGCTGAGTTAGAATTGAGTGATTTACATCCTTTTCTTCACCCTGCCCTAGGAGTTTACCAGCTGTAAGTATAAGCGTCCTATCGCCACTCTGGTTAATACATATGTATTTTAGTTGTCAGAAACAAAGCCCCAGGAGATAAAGAATGAGAAAGATAATAGCGCGCTCTCTCTCTCTCTCTCTCCTCTCTCTCTCTCTCTCTCTCTCTCTCCTCTCTCTCTCTCTCTCTCTCTCTCTCTCTCTCTCTCTCTCTCTCTCTCTCTCTCCTTTCCCTTCCTCAAAAAATGCTTTCAAAAGTATTAGGAGGCTCACACAGATGTGGGTATGGATGGGTGCTAAGGAGGGAACCAAGCCCCTAGCTAGAGGCTGTTGACCTATTTTCTGTTGTGAAGGGCCCCTGGGCTGCTGCCTGCTGCCCCCAAAGAAATGCCAGTTACCACGTGACACCCAGTGGAATGTGCTGCCAACTCGTTCACTAACCACCAGCAGGTTCTAACCGACTCTTCCCCCACCCCAGCCCTCTGTGCTTCCACTCCCCCGTCTCCCTCCTTTGCCCACTTGTCCTCGCCTCCCGATCCCCTTCCCTCTCCCCCTAAGGACAACCATGACCAAGGAGACTTAGACCATTTTTTATGTAAGAACAACCCAGGCCTCCCCAGCCCCGTCAAAAGCCGCGCGGCGGGCCCAGGCTGCATGTGCCGAGAGTGACGGGGAGTGACTCTAAACGCTGTGCTCCAAGCGACCGACCAACCTTCCCACCCCGTCGACACATTCTCTCTCTTGTTGTCCCTACAGGAAAACCGTAAGGGTTAAAATAGTAGATGAGGAGGAATACGAAAGGCAAGAGAATTTCTTCATTGCCCTTGGTGAGCCGAAATGGATGGAACGTGGAATATCAGGTGTGAGATTCTTAAAAAAAAAAAAGCAAAAACAAAAAGAAAAAAATTAAACTGAAAAGTAGTAACAAAAACAGCTATATTATTTCTTCCCCGTTTCTACCCTTTTTTTCCTCCTTCTTCCTTTTGACCAATGGACTTTTTTTATTCTTTTTCCCTCCTGTATTCTCGCTCTCACCCTGTTTCGGTATCATCTCTGCCTTAGTAGCCTTAGCTTATTTCCAAGTCCTCCTTTCTTACCTTCAGGGAAGCCGTGCAACCCCCACTCCTCGTTACCCTAATGAGATACTTCTGCCTTGGGGTCCACTTACCCGATTACCTCTCCCCGGCACTGTCCCCCCACAGCCCGCAGACATACTCCCCGACCTGTAAATGTGGAAACTCTGGTGGGTGGGGAGAAGAAAAAAAAGGAATGTGATTCGATGCATGCCTGGACCCCTCCCCTGCCTTCCCCCCACCCACCCCTCCTCTCTAGCCTGGATTGAATGGGGGTGGGGGTAGGGGGTGCTGGGACCCGTGTTGCAATGTTGCTTTGACGTTTTCCTGCTGCATTCCATAACCTGCAGCCTTTGTGGAGTGCTTGGCAGGTTATTTACTTGCAGAGTGACCCATAGGCCCCTCTGCCCTTCCTGGAGGTAAGTGTTCTGTTTGGCTGTTTCACAATTGGGTGCACCGAGGTATGGAACAGTGTATCAATTGTCAGAGGCACAGTTTCTAAAAGGAAGCTGGTTTCTAAGAGAGTGTATAATCTGGAATCCGAGCTAATCTTCCTCCTTGTCCTCCCCCCCCCCCCCCCCCCGCCATCCCAGCCCATTTTAACGCTGTTCCTAGCCCCAGGTAGGGGATTTTATGGAGGCTAATGTGGGATAGTGCAGCCCCCTCATGCAGAAAATTAAGTCTTCAAAAGGAAGGAAATTCCAGGAACGAAGATCTCCCTAGACAGAGGTCCTGGAACAGACCTGGCTCTGGGCAGGACCAGAGTACCCACTGGTGGGATTTCCAACAGGAGCAGGACTCAAAATGGTGGTATTGGTGTTGATCCCTGAGAAACAGGTGTTGGATGACTCATGGAAGATGCCTTGGCTTGGTATCTGCAAATGAGCGTTTCACCCAGATCCCAAGATAACCCTTCTTTCACACCAGAGAGATGGCCTTTCTTCAGGACATGCATCGGAATACCTACGGGCTCCACGCCTAGCGGACTGATCATGTCGTGGCCAGGGTAAACGTAAGGAAAGAGGTCTTTCCTGGAAGAAAATGATTGGAAGCCACTTCTTTGAGAGCATTGCAGGAATACAAGTAGGAGTAGGAGCACTCTTGGGAAAAAAAAAGGATATTCACACTCCCCTTCAGGAGAGGGATTCTCTTGGGAGCTCACGAAAGATGGAACTGTTGACTAAAGGGTCGATAATTCTGCCACTACTTCATATTCACGTGACCAAGAGCTTTCTGAGTCTCTCACTCAAGGACAAAGCAATGGAAGAGATTCGGCAACTACGCTCCCAAAGGCGCGTTGACAGGTCTTCTCAGACTCATGATTCATCAGTTCTTATTATCTCCTGGGGACTCTCTGCACGACTGAGCCGTTCTGTGCCCACACCAGTTTGGGCACATCTATGGGACGAAGCCTTCTCTAGTCTTCCACGTCTCATCCAATTCTTGGCCACCCTGTAAGATGAGCCTTCCTGACAGCCTAGAAGAAAGAGAAAAGTTCTGGTTCCATTACTTCCCAGATTTTACTCCAGCCAATCCTCTAGTTTCTGCTACTGAGAATATTCTCTGAAGTTGTTTCAAAACTTACCCTGTTTCATCCCCACTTCCCTTTGTGCAATTACTCCATATATTCATGATTCTAGTGTCACAGACAGCAGAGGCCATTGTAATCCAGCTTCATGACTTTCCAAGTCCCAGCTCCATAGGTGCAAATGAAAGCAACTGGAAGGATCATACAGGGAAAGGAAGCAGTGGCTCCGGGTAAGAAGAATGGCTGGCTGTCCACCCATGAATTATTCTACCTGTAAAGAAGCTCCCTTTTCTGGCCTCCTGACAAGCCCCGTTAACAGAAGGGCAGAGACCTAACATAAACTTTGTGCTCTTCAAGAAACTAGGCCAACATGAAAGCCTGTGGCTACTGCCCATGTGGACTGCTTTTTTGCACTAGATTCTTTGTCCAAAGAGAAATCAACCAAGCCTGGTAGAGCCAAGTCTATAGGTGAGAAGTTCAGTATTTCATCAAGCTATAGGTGTGAATTGCCCTCAGATGGTCCCAGGGACCAAGAAACCAAGATGGAAGGTACCAATAGGAAGTTTTCCATTTTCCTGTCCTTCTGGTCTATTGTCTATAGTGTTAATTTTTCATTTCTTCAGTTCTTCCCAAATTTTAGCTTGAGGCCATAAGGTGAAAGGTCATAAAACTTGATTGTCTAGACTCAGAATCAAATGAAAACCCATCCAGATCTCAAGAATTGCCTGCTGTTCTCAGAGTGAGACACAGCACAGTGGAAATTGCTTTTCATTATCACTGCTGCATAGGAGAGTCTCAGGCATTCCAAACAGCATCGGCTCTGCATGGTCAAAAATGACAATTGCATTGCAAAAAAACAATAAGTAAAGACAGGATTTGAAGTAGGATATTTGCTTCTTGGCAAACAAACCAGACTTCTGCGGTAAGACAAATACTCTGACAAGCTGGGGCCTGGGAATGGAAGGATGAGTGGAAACCATGTTGCCCTGGAGTGGAGCAAGAGTTGGAATCCAGAGCAGAATTTTGAGAGCAACACTGAGCAGCACAGTCAAGGCTGTTGAGCCTCAGCCTGGGCCTGTACACTGGAGTTCTCAGGTGGGGAAGGAAAGCTCCCTCCCCCAGGAATGGGGCCTGCCTTTGCCTTTTCTCATGGTTTCACCCTGACAAACTAATCCAGGTACTTCTGACTACCCTTGGAGCTGTACTGGTTCCTATTTGTCTCTGGGTGTTGGAACAGGCATAAATGACTCTCAGCCGGCCCTGGGGATCCGTACAGGGAAATTCAGCTCCAACTTCTCTCAGCAGAAGCAGCAGGAAAAAATCATCCTCAAGGTATCATGTTATTCAAAGTTGGCCGACCTGGATCCACTGACTGACCAACTATAGCAGCCAGGTGAAAGTCTCAGGTTTATGTAGACAATGACCAAAGAAGGATGAAATGCCCAAGAGCCATGCTGGGGATGATACTGGTGTTGGCAGGGATGTCTGCATGAAAACCAGGGCAACAGGGGCCTTTTTGGAAGTGTTGCCCAAACTCAAAGTTGGCATACCTGGGTATACTGATGTGTTCAAATCTCTGGTTTGCACTGGAACTTGTAGGCCAAGAGGGATGCTTCTGTGCAGATCCATGGAAGGAGCAGAATGAACACTCTTTTGCTCTATCTATCTATTTATCTATCTATCTATCCATCCACCCATCCATCCATCATCTATCTCAGTGTAATAAGGAGATTCGTTGATCCCTTATGCCATGGAATTCCGTACAGGAGATAACAGAAGCAGTCAACTGCTGTTTGCTCTTCTTATAGACCATCAGGATTCTGGATCCACATGTCTTCAGTGACTGTTAATATGGACTATGGATTACATGCTTGAGTTGCTTTCCTAGAGATTTTTAGAAGAAACACATTCATAATCTCCCCTGACCCCATCTCTTTCCTAAGCACCTCCATAATTCACCAGCTGCATGAAGAGCATGTGGCAGGATGTTTCCACAAAAGCCAAGGAGTGAGAGGCTGTACAAAGATGCCACTGAGATAAGAATGTGGTGTGTCACAGGATTTTTCTCGGGGGAGGCCTTGAAATCTAAGAGAGCTTAGCATAAGTACAGATTCAGGAACTAGGGACAAGCTATGTTGGATACATCAGAGCCCCATTCCATGTAGGGCCTTGTATTTGGCATCTCCCATCTACGTACAGCTTTTGATGTGAGAACCTCTCTGGCCCAGATTATCTGGACTCCAAGTCAGTCAGTCTTCTCTGGAACAAAGAGACCACCATCCAGAGATGCAGCACTAAAGGAGCTATGAAAAATATTATCGCCAAAGTAGGTAGCAAAAAACAGACCTTTATTGAACACCTACTATTAAAATGATTTTGCTAGGCACAGGTGATGGAAAATGGTAGAAGGGTAGGAGTTCATGACACTGACCTCCAAGTTATATCTATAAAAAGATAAACCATCCAAGAAAGACATCCTGCAGGACTTAACTTTTCACTCATTCATTCTTTCAGGGGAACTCAAAGTCTGGCCAGCATGGTAGCTCGAAAGCTATTTGTGGCCATGGAAATGTTATGAGCACTGGGAAGCTGAGTAGGATCTGATTATGAGGTTAGGGATGGAAGACGTAACTGGGTACCGTCACACTCTTGTATGCCATTACCTCCTCCACCTGAGCACCTATTCAAGCACCATTCATGTTTTCTACTGAGAAGCCAGATACTCTTACATGGTTACAACTCTTCCAATTTGTATGGTAACTGGATTCTCACTCCTTTACTGAACAGATGTGATAACTTGATCCCCTAGAAAATCACAGATGACCAAGTCTGTCTCTGCTTCATCCACTTGGTTCCCTAAGTTTCTGTGTCCCTAGCTCTCAGAATTGCAGGGAAGTTATAGGGGAAAAAATAGCTACAGGGCTCTGGAACTTGACAGCCTCTCCAGTGGCTCATACCTCTTGCTGCTGATGCTGCTGTGCCTGCTTCAAGTGCTGCCTTTTGCATGTGACTGCAGAGCTCTCACCTACTAAGCTCACTGCTTTCCTGAGGCTGCCAGTACCCCCAAATCCTGAGGATACTTTCAAGATGGGACCTTAATGCTCTTTCCTTTTCTTTGTTCCCCTTGTCTGGTACCCATTTGCAAACAGCGCTCCTGTTGTCTCCAGGTAAGAGGTGTCTTGCCCCTCTTTTCTACTTTGCCAGTGCTATCAGTTAGCTTAAGACCAATGTCCTTTGACTTACTTAATTGGAATCATGGACTTGAGTTAATCTGAGTTCTTCCCAGGACTGAGAGGTTGATTTTCCCATTTAAAGTAACCTTGGGGAAGTAGACAATTCCTTGAGCATCATTTCTATCAATAGGTGTGAGTAAAGGCAAAGCTGTTCTCTCTGGGACCAGGAAGAGAAATGACTCTTACCAAAGAGATGGTGGATCATAGGCTTCTCCTGAATCTTAATTCATCAGTGCTTTCATGTTGAGGGGTAAGAGAAGATGAGAGTTAGCTGAATCTCCTAATAAAATCATGATGGGATTTCAAAGAAAAGACTTGATCTCCAGGGAAAAATAATCAGCTGCTATGAGACATGAAATGCAATTTTTTAAGAATCTGGAATTTTACTGATCCTGGAGATCTTCCATCTCATCACAGCTGAGACCTAAATTGCTAGAACTTTGGATCCTTTGTCATTGATCCTTGAAGTCAGATGTGCCATGAATAACAAGAAGAATTACAATACTATGAGAGTAGTGGCAATTATCTGACTAGAAATAGAAATCATAGAGAATTTATTTTGTGAAGATTCTCATGCAGAATCTTGATCTTGTCTTAGGACAAATGCCTATCTTAATAGTATGCTTACACCCATGAATCTGATCATAAATATTGATACCATCCCACTTATGAGCAGAGAGTGAGGAATGCATTCCCAGCATTCCCAGTAATGCTACAAATCTTAGTATGGGCAGAGTGAGCTATATAAGACATGTCAGTATATTTCAAAAGAAAATTTTATGTTTCATTAGTTCTTTGAACATGATTTTTTTTAAGTAAGCTCATTTAAGAGGCAAAACATCTTATAGAATGCATTGGTAGTTAGAGTCACCTACAGGCTACACCTTGGGCTTAAGAAGGAATAAATGCATGTATAGCAAGAACAATTGTCTCTTTGGAACCTTAAACAAAAGATATGGGTAAACTCCTCTATATTTCCTTTCTGGGGTAAAAAAAAAAAAAAAGCTTTATGCTTCCTTGGCCTCTGGCTTCCTTCTTTTACCAATAGGGTAAAGACTACCCCAACCCCCTGTATGCCACCATTCTCCCAGGGTATTGTGTCAGAGCACTGGATATTATTTCTCTGGGATATTATTTCCCAGAGAAGTTCTCTGGGCTTCTTTGTTGCAACTCCTGCCTCTACCCTTCCCCACCAACTACTCACATACATGCAACAAAGGTAGTGATTTGTACTATACTTTCCTTATACATCTAACATATTTGCACAAATACCAGTAGAAGTTAAAATAGGAAATGAAGGTTCATGTCCTATATTTTTATCTGTAAATTTTTAATTTAGGGAACTTTGATTAGAATTTGAACTCACTGGAAATTTCAAGTCCTTGTTCAAATTTTCCTGGGTGGACAGGTAAATGTAATTAACAATTCCTGGTGGTGAAAGATGGAGAGTAAATGTTCATTCTGAGCTGCACCATCAAGCTCAGGGATCTGGGAGTGGAAGCCTTGGCTGCATTGCCCCACTTTTTCCTGAGGATGTCTGCAGAGCATTCATGGCAAGCTATTCTTGTCTGTCCTGGCAAGTTCTTTGTTCTTCCAATGTTTGTTCAATCTTCCATCCTATTCCTATTCTCTTTCCCTTTCTTTCCCTCCTCTCACCTTCTATTCCTAAATTTGAGAGTTTGCTTAGTTGCTCTGAATATCAAGATCATCTGTCATATATTTTCTTTGCTTAAAATTCTGAAACATGACATAAACAAGTGATGAAAATCACTGTGGTCTTTTAGGTTTGAGACATCACTCTCTCAAGAAATTAACTTAATTTGAATGTAAAGTCATCATCATTACAAAAATAGAAAAAGGCAGAAATTACTACAAACCAAGACACTAAATAAGAGTTGATTTCGAGGCATGTGAATCAATCAATTTACAACCATATATGGAGTTCCTCTGTGAGTCTGTGGGAAATCAAAAGGTAGAGAGGTGGCTATTTGTCAAAGAAATTTTGCAGAAAGCTAGATCGAAAAACTGACTGTCACTACAGGGGTGGACAGGTCAGTAAGTAGATCAATATCCTGCCATATGGATATAGTGCTAGATTGATAGCTATACAAGAGGTTAGAACAGGTACATTCATGTGTCACTGGAGAGTTTATTATACTGGTATAAAAGTTCTTGTGGCACATGTAAAGTATGACATGGGGGAACTGGGCAGAGAGGAATGGATTTATACCGTCACTGCCAAGGTAGGCATTGTGAATTGGTGCCAAAACCTGCAAGTCTGGGGAAAGAGCATCATGCCTTTAGGGAATATATCTTTTTCAAAGTCCTTTTCCCAGGCCTCTACAATCACTGACTTCAGAGTCAGAACCCTGGACATAGCAGATTTACCTTCAGAATTAACTAACAAGAGACTCAGAATCAATAGGTTAAATTAACTCAGGCTGCTAGAGGGTGACTACTGGCTTAGAAATATACAGGACATATATCCTTGAGAAATAATTGTTTCCAAAAGCGGTCACCAGCATGAGGGAAGACAGCACCATGGACAGCTCCCAAACAGTTGCAAATTGCCTCTTTTTGCTGCCAGAAGCACTGAGTAAAACAGGAAGCTCAGAAAGGAGTCTTCTACATACCCTCTTACTATCTTCACTCAGGACAACTTAAGAAATCCTTATATTTAATAAGCTCTCTGCTTGGTAACTCATATGTTTGGCTAACAATATTTTCAATAAGTTCCTTTCATCCTCAAGAACTTGAGTCTCACTCCTTCCTATGCTTCACCAATTCCCAAGATAGCAAAAAAAGTCTTCTTGGTCTCCAACCCATTTTGTCTTAGATTATTCAAGGACTAAAGGATTCCCTTAGGAGATTCACTGTGTGGAATAAAAGCAATTAAGGATCCAAATAAAAGAATTAATTGCATGTAAGAATGTGGACTTGGATGGAAAGATGTTTAAATGAGCTCTGAAAGAAACAGACTGCCAAGGGCAATTTTCTAATCAAAGGGGAATAAAAAAGATTCAATCTCTATTTCACTCTAATCCAGAAAACATGTCCTCATGGTGAAGCGCTCTTGAAATGGACTCACCAGCTGAAGTGGAAAAAATTTCTAACATTTCAACATGAGAAGGAACAACATGGTCAATGAGTCGAGATGCTGAACAACACAGGGAATGCTTCAGAAGAAAGTTTGCTTTGCTTTGTTTTTGAACAAAAATCCATGTTCCTGAAGAAATGTGCCTCATTCCTATAGAAATCCTGGGGCTCTTTCATTAGAAAGTCACGGAGCTCTTTTGGGAAATCTTCCAAGTTTCTCATTGTATGAAATATAGCTATTCCCCTTTACTCCTTTATAGAGGGGATAGAGCCACAGTGTTAGAAACAGATATTAACATATACCAGTAGACATTTTCTTTGGATTAAATAGTTGAACAGTCAAGTTCAACTTAATTAAGAGTTCAAAATAATTAAAGGTTAAGAGATTTGACTTTTGTTCCCATCTTTCCAACATCTCACCAAATGACTTCACTTGGGGACTTCACTTGATGCTATTTCTCAGATGATCTTTGGGTCAGATTGCCCATCCAGGTATAAAATGGAAAGAGCAATACTTCTCCTAGGTCTGCAAGGAACCCTGTTTATGATCTGAAGGTCGTAAAGCACTTTATAGAAAAAAAAGGCATTGGAAATACACATAATGCCCATCCCCAAGAGCTGTTTGTTTTGTGTCCACTGCCCATGCCCAATACTTTGAGCTTTAGACTTCTAAGGACTGGAGAATGTGCTAAGATGAGTCTGATTTTGTTTTGTTGCAGAGGTGACAGACAGGAAACTGACTGTGGAGGAAGAGGAAGCCAAGAGGATAGCAGAAATGGGAAAGCCAATATTGGGTGAACATCCCAAACTAGAGGTCATCATTGAAGAGTCCTATGAGTTCAAGGTCAGGTCATAAGTGAGGTCTAATTGAGTAATAAAGTAATGGGGTGGGAGGTAGAAGACCTGGAGTTTTTATCCAGTTTAACCACTGATTATGTGAAGTTGGAACTAAAACAAATAACTGTCCCACCCTAGTCATAGCCTGCCCTTTTGTAACATGGAGAGAATAGAGTTGGCCATTTGTATCCTAAGACCATTGTGAGGGAACATACATGGCATATGGACTAAGTGGACTGTGAAGCCCCTAGATAGAGCATCACAACTGCGATGTTTTTTGAACAAAGATACTAAAATTCACTACTCCAGGGCAAGGTTTATTAATATCATTACCATTGTTCTCTATTGCATTACTCTAAATATCCAATGTCAGCAGTCACAATCAAAGCAAAGGAAAATTTGACAGTTTGCCTCAGAAGATAATACCTAAGGCGAGTCCTTGCGTAACTTTCAAAATCCTCATGGAATCCCCTGGAATGCAGGACATCTTTCATTCCCTTGAATGAAAGTACCAAATCCCTAACGTTCTGAGCATTCTAACCTCATGTTTCCAAGTTTTATCTCCCTGACAGAGTACAGTGGACAAACTGATCAAGAAGACAAACCTGGCCTTAGTCGTGGGCACCCATTCCTGGAGGGACCAGTTCATGGAGGCCATCACTGTTAGTGCAGGTAGGAGGCGCTCCAGATGGTCACAGGCCATGTGGGGAGAAGCGGGCAACACATGAGATAGAACAGCCACATCAACAGTCCACCAGTTTCTGGGAAAGCCTGTGGTCCAGTCTTCCCAGCTGACATACCTCCACCCTGGATAATTCCAAACCTCTTTTTCAGCATTTACTGATGGGTTCCCTTACTGGTGACCCAAGCACAGCAGGTGTAACCCAGAGGCTACAGCTGTGTTGGAATGTGCTGGAAGGGTCTCTCCACCACCACTACCTCTCAGCATCACCAAGGCCTCCTTTCACTGCTGAGAATTCCTGCCTTGTCTCCTTTCCTGAGGCTTTGTTGTCATAGCAACCCACAGAGTTATATCCCCCAGGGTCAGAGAAAAAGTACAGCCAGGAAGAGAGGGCTGATGCCACTGCTGCCCCACTTTTCACTTCGTCTGCTTCAGATGCTCCCACTTCCCCCTCTGATGACCTTACTTTGCCCTTAAAGAGACAATAAATAGAACATAGGCCACAGAATCTAACCCCCTCCTTTTTCAAATGAGGGAACTGAGATTCAGAAACAAGAGGTGAGTTATTCCCAAATTGCAGGTTCTCTTTGTGGCAAAACTGCCGTGGAACCCAAGCATTGTGATTCCTGCCCTTTCTAAGCCCAGCTTTCACCACGTGTGTCAAAGCACAGGTTGCCCTTGACAAGATGCCAGGTGCCTCAGCAGACCCTCCTCTCCTGGACTGCTGCATGGGCATTTCTGCCCACATTTCCAGAAATGGACAAATGGGGCCCATCCCTGCTCTGTCCCAGGGGTATGTAGAGAGTGGCTCTCGCTCTCTGGTACATCCCCATGATCTGGAAGGACACCTGTCTCTCTGGGACTAGATAGTGACCAGAACCACAGGTTATTGCAACAATCGTATCAGGAAAGCTGAGTGGGAGCTCCACTGGCATCCAGGGAAAAGAGGACATGCAACTGATTTTTGCTTTTCTTCGCCTAAGCAACCAAATGCAACCTGCTCCGTCCTCTTCTTTCTCCTGTGACCTTGTCCTTCTCAAGTTTCCCTGTCCTATCTCTTGGTCTTTTCCTCTTTTTTCTTCCTTATTCCCTGCCCTCTCTCTCCCACTGTCCCTGAGTGTCCTGCATTTAGATTGACCAATGGGACAACCAACTGGTTTCCCACTTCCCAACTGTTCCTGCCCACCCCTTGATCTGCACGTCCTGGCATTCCAACTGATGATGCTCATGATATGCACTGGACTTGACTTTCTCATGGAGGAGGATCTGATCTCTCTCCCTTTCTGGGGCCTGTTTATCTTGCCTGCAGCAGGAGATGAGGATGAGGATGAGTCTGGTGAAGAGAGGCTGCCATCCTGCTTTGACTACGTCATGCACTTCCTGACAGTCTTCTGGAAGGTGCTGTTTGCCTGCGTGCCCCCCACAGAGTACTGCCATGGGTGGGCCTGCTTTGTCGTCTCCATTCTCATCATCGGCATGCTCACAGCCATCATCGGCGACCTGGCCTCCCACTTCGGCTGCACCATTGGCCTCAAAGACTCAGTCACAGCTGTTGTTTTCGTGGCATTTGGCACCTCTGTGCCAGGTGAGAGCGAGGGTTGCTCGGGTTCTGCATTTGACTTTATTAGCTTCCTCACTACCTCAGATGTGAGCTTTACAATCTCTGTCCTTAAGGTGCACAAAAGTCAAGCAAAGGGATTAATGATGATATTACTAATGATGGTTAACATTTATTGAGCCCTTCTGATGTGCCAGGCACTGGGCATGCTAAGCAATTTACAAGTTTATCCCTGTCATGCTCACCCAAATCCTTTTTATAGAGATACTTATTATCCTACTTGACAGATAAGGAAACTGAGGCCCACACAGGTTACATTACCTGGCCAAGTTGCCCAATTTCTTAACCTCCACATTATACAAATGGAACACAAATTATGTAATTCAGAGAATATAGATATTGCTCTCCTTCTGTTTCCTTCTGGCAGTCTCTGGAAGGTTAAAAGATTAGCCCATTTGAAGATTCCCCAGTAGAAATGGCCCCACGCATTCTTGGCTTTCTCTGCTCAGGACACCTGTGAATACAAAGTATTTTCCAGAAGGACAGGCAAAGGAAGCTTAGTGAGTTCTTGTCCTGTCATGTGATTAATTACATATTTTTTTTCCCATATGAACACGAGAGTCAAACAGCAACAGGAGTATGCTTCTTCATGCACTAGACTAACATTTACCACGCCCATTACATTCTTGTGCTTGTTGCTGGAGGTAACACAGATAGGCTTCCCTCTCCATGTGGAGCTTATAACCTAATGAAGGAGACCACTCTCAATTACTGTAATTAAAATCATCTCATAAGTTCCAAGAGGAAAAAGTACAGATGCTGCGTGCATACGAAACAGGGCACCTGAGCCCGGCCGAGTCAGGGATGGCTTCCAAGGGAGGCCGTATGTCAGCTGGGCTGGGAGGACAAGTAGCAGCTAGTAGATGAGAGAACCGCATTCCCTCAGGTTCCTTCCTTAGTTCGGTTGTCTCCAGGGTGCCTGAGCGGGCCTCCAGTTGCCATGGGGAGAAGCAGAGCATCCTCCTGCAGGAAGCTTAGCTTCTCACTCAGGACTGCTATCTGGACCAAGAGCTGGTGTCCTCCAGGGAGCATCTGAGTCCACATTACACTCTGCCCCAAACCCCAGCACAGACCAGTGGGATGATCTGTGTGTGTGGGCGATGTGAGAGGTTTGGCTACTGACTCTTGGTGGTAGGAACTTAGGTAGATGGCCCAGGGAAGGTTTTGTGGAAGAAATGCCCAGTGATCTCTGTTCTCAGGCCTTGGGGGACCTGAACAATCAGAGGGAAAGATCAGATATGGGAAAAAGGAACAGACGTGGCAAGAAATTGCAGAGGCTCAGAGGCAAAAAGGAAAAAGCAAAGCAAGGTCATAGGCAAGGAAAGGTAAGAGTTTTTCTCTGGGAGATCTGTCTGTGAAACCTGGCAACAAGGAGGCGAGCTCAGACAAGATGGACAGGGAAATGGCTTGGGGCACTTCCAAGCCCTGTGGTGCTCCAGAGAACAGCTGGCTGCATTGGGGGCTGGTAAAGAGCTATGCCGTGGGCCACTCAGCTGATTTAGGGGCCTTGGTCGAAGCTCACTGGATGCACGGTGATGGTATGGAATGGCTCTTGCTAACTTCTTAGCTAACCTCGGGGAGAGTCCCTAGCCTTTATTTTCCTTACCTATTGAATAATATGTTGGGCTAGAGGCCCCTGACAATCCTTTATCTAAAGTCAAACATCCTGCGAGACCCTGCAAAGGCAGAGTCCTGTGTTCCCCAAGTCTGTGCTCACCCCTCATGTCTGTCCCTATCAATCCAGCACCTGGCACAGCACTGAGCCCCTAGGTATTGCACAATAACTGTCCAAGTTAAGTGTATAAATGTCCCACATAACAGTTGCAACCAGGTATCTATTGTAAGCAGCTTTTTAAAGTTCCCTGGAGAGAGATCATGGGAGAGCAGACTCCCCTTACTGAAAAAGTAGGCAATACACCAGCTCGGTAAAATATCAGAATCAGCAAGGCCCTCAGGAATCTTTCAGACTGTCAGATGAAGGTGGGAAGTCCAGAGAAGTGATGTGACTTGTCCAAGGCCACACAGCTTGTTAAAAGTACAGTGCGGGGTAGGAGGTAGCCCCCAAACCCCTGACGCCCTTTCTTGGCTCAGCCCACTGACCCCGCTGCCTTTTGCATGTATTCGAAGGCAGATCCTCCACAGCTCAGTCTTCACCAGCTCCCGTTTGTCTGTTCTTTTCCAGATACATTTGCTAGCAAAGCTGCTGCCATCCAGGACGTGTATGCAGACGCCTCCATTGGCAACGTCACGGGCAGCAATGCCGTCAATGTCTTCCTGGGCATCGGCCTGGCCTGGTCCGTGGCTGCCATCTACTGGGCCCTGCAGGGACAGGAGTTCCACGTGTCGGCCGGCACACTGGCCTTCTCCGTCACGCTCTTCACCATCTTTGCGTTCGTCTGCATCAGCGTGCTCCTGTACCGCCGGCGGCCCCACCTGGGCGGGGAGCTGGGTGGGCCTCGTGGCTGCAAGCTCGCCACGACGTGGCTCTTTGTGAGCCTGTGGCTCCTCTACATACTTTTTGCCACGCTGGAGGCCTACTGCTACATCAAGGGATTCTGAGCCACAGAAGGAGGCCTCGCACAGGGCAGGCTGGGACTTCTCCCAAGAGGAGGGCTCTTCCCCACCTGTGACCTCTCCTGGGTGAGGGGCCCTGGAGGGGCCACGTCAGGACCCGAGCCCCAGGAACTTCAGCCGACTCCAGCCCTGGCAGTGAACTGAAAGGGCAGGGTCTTAAACAGAATGGAGGAAACATCCACTTCACAAAGTATTTAATTCAATACCAATCAGCAACAGCAAGTCACAAGTCATCTCCTGCTCACATCCCTGGCCCCTTAGCAAAGGTCAGACCCTTTCACCATCTTCGAGTCCACCTTCTGATTGTCCCTTGACTTCTGTTTCTTTAGGGGCAGGGTTTCTGCAGTCTGTCCAATGCGATACCTCACTGCTCTCTCACTCAGCTGGCGAGAAGTGACAGGGAGTCCTAGCTATGTGGCTGGTTTGGGGTTCTCTTCCTTGTGATCTTTATTGTGGTTGCTTTCATTTTCCCATCGGGTTTTGCGCATTGTTAGTTGTCTGTTTTGTCTTTTCTTTCTGAAGTTAGTGACACAGGTGCTGTGAAGGGGCTCGGTCTGAGCTGACAGCAAGAGGCATGCATTTCAGATCCACAGCCCCCCACCCACCCACACTGGCTAATGGCTGTCTTTTGGCTCCTTCAAGGTCTTGTCCTCCATCTCTTTATTATCTCTGAAGTCTTTAGAGCTGGTGGCATCTGGGGGGAAGTTGGTTCGCAACCCGTGCAGGGCGCTAAAGAACAGTGGGGACTTGTGGCAGAGGGAGCAATATATACTTATGTCTAAGTCAAGGTTAAACAAAGTCATGTTTCTTTCCTCTGCCCTAGCCCTTCAAACCCTGTGTGTCCTTGTGTCATTGTCCATGCTTAGCCCTCTGCACAGGGGGCCATGGGACAAAAATAAGAATGGTATGTCATGGCAGAGGGCAGCTGGGGAGACAAAAGGCACAGATGCCCTTCTTGATATCTTTGGCTCCGTATCTGAGGCAGGAGAGGAGCAGTGTCCAACGAGCACGATCTTTAAGAGGAAAGATTCTATTTAAAATGTCAGTGCTCCGAGAAATGTCAGCCTCATCACCTCCTCTCTCTCCTCATGCACCATTCTAAGCGGTCTGATGATAATCCTTGAAGTAATATAAAAACACAGAGGTTTATGAGCAAAAAAAGGAGGGATAACCTTCCACCTCTCCTGGACCCTCAGGTCACATTTGAAGGTATTTTCACAAGACAGAAACTGAAATTCATCTTTCCTACATTCCTGAGTGTTTTTAAACCTCACCAAGCTCTTTTTCCAGTCTGTGGGCTATTTCTTGCCCCAGGAGGAAGTATCTTAATTGCCATAATCCCATGGAGCCTGAGTTTATAGGAAAAGAGATAGTCATACCCTACAGATCTTTTTTCCAACAAATTTTGAAAGGACCTGGCTTTAAAACACACACACGAAAATACACCTATGAAATCATCACAAAACTGCCCACAGATGTTTAGGCTTTCTGCATTGACATTAATACATTTTTTAAGGGGGAAATGGAAATTAAAGCAACACCTGTTTAATTTTAAACACATTTTTTAAGAAAAAATTGACTAAAAAAGAAACAGTGCTCATGTCATAAGCTATGTTGACAGTCGCCAGTGGAAATGTTGGGTTGGTTTAAAAAAAAAAATAAAAGCTATACTTATATCTCTCTAAATGCTGCTTGTTGCTCCCTGTTTTTATTCGGAAAGGTGCAGGAGGCTGGCTTGGGCTGCTTCTGGAGCAGATGTGGTTGAGGGGTGGTGTTATCTCCCCTTCGTATGTCCTATTTGCATCTGTCATCTCACATTCCAGTGAGCCAGATCCAGTATTTTTAAAGCACAAAAATACTTCCGGGAAATGCCACCTGTCAAAATCTGGGCTATAAAGAGGCTGGGGGGCATAAGTGGCGGAACTGTGTGACTAGGGGGACTGGGCATCTGGTAGTGTAAAGACAGGGGGGGACAGGATTCCCGCAGGGAGGACGATGCCTGTGTTCAGGACCATGGGCTTTATCAGTCATTGATCTACTCACCATGCATTCAGCAAATGTATTTTGAACACTCCCCGTGCTTTGAATGGCGCACTGGCCGTGCAACAAAGAGCAGAGCAAAGCCCGACCTCCGGAGTCTCACGGTCTAGAGGGGAAAGCGAAACTTCTTTTAGGCAAGTCCCTTTTGGTTACAAGAAACAGATACCCATTAAACTGATTGGAGAAATGGAGGGGGAACTGTGTGAGAACCTGGTGGTGGGTGCTTATGAAACCCTTGAGAGAGGCACAGCAAGCCTTGGGAGCCTGAAAGCCCCAGGGATCAAGACCAGTCTCCATTCCCCAGTACATAGTGCCTCCATCCCTGCCTTCTCCGCGGGCCGTGCCCTTCTCTCCCCGAAGGAGCTTCCTCTGCTTTGTCTCGCACAGGGCCCAGCACAGCCACCCACCCTGATACTAGAGCATTGATACAGAGCAATAAGGGGCATTAAACCTGGCCAAGGACAGTGCTCAAATAGCTTACGGGTCACGTCTGAGTTCTTCCCCTGCACGCACAACTGCAAGACCACTCAGGTTTAGGAAACAACAATTGCATTTGTTCAATAAACAAGGGAAAGCAGAGTTCGGAGGTCACAGTGGCGGGTTACCTCATCCAAACTAGTGTCCAGGGTTTTGAAGTCCTAAACAAAACGTGTCTAGGATGGTGTCTTCCCACCACGAAGGGTCTGGAGCATGTGGCAGCCAGACAATAGGCTGGGATCCAACTCACAAAGACAGCGCGGGCACAACAGGAGATCCTCCCCAGAGCCGCTGCGATGCCCCAGCACGGCACCCGACGAGCAACACTGAAAACAGCACCTTAGCAGCAGAACAACTAGACAAATGGCCACACTCTGTGCAGCTCAGACAGGAGCCCGACTCCGGGTCTTCGCCTTCCCCTCCAGGCTACTACAGCAACAGAGCCGGGAACAGTTTCATTTGCTTAGCAACAGGCAAAGCCTCTGAACTTTTCTCCTTGGAGGTTGGCTGCTGGGAGCCTCTCCACATCCTTAAAAGGGCCGCAACAACCTTCTGAAAGATTGGCATGGGGGGTGGGGGGTGGGCAGAAATGGCCCACCCCAGAATCGCTGAAATCCCGAAAACACTGAATCATCCCTGAAGGCGCTGGCTGAATCCTGGGGGCCGCGTCTGCACTCCCCAGTATTTCCTACCAGTCGCCACCCTACCAATTCTTCGTTCTATTTCGCCTGGGGCTTTTCTACTCACCAGCAACCCCCTCCAGAGGCACCGCTTGTAACAGCCTTCGGCTTGGACTCCCATTTTCAGCAGGACCTCACAGCTCCATTCCCACAGGAGCAGCACCCCACCTCTCTTGTGTAAACTCTCAAGGAGAGAATGTAGCCAATGCCCCATCCCCAAAGGCAGCGTCCTCTGTAGGAGGCTGAGAAGGGGGGGAGTGGGGGGGGCGCCCGCGGCTCTATTTCTTTGGGCCAGGGGGACTTCGTCCACTCCAGGGCTGGGGGCAGCCACATTGTTCCAACACTTGCCCTTCCCAAAAACTAAGTGGTGAGAAGGAAACTTGGGGGCGTTTGGACCAAGGTACAAATCAAATGTGCAGCTCCAGGCCGTGATACTCTCAGAGTGGCATAACCAAGTTCCTGGGGAGCAATGGAAAGAAATATTCGGCCTGGAGGAACTAGGACACACTTCACAAAGAACTTGACATTTAAACAGGGTCTTGAAGGAAGAACTGTGACTTGCCCACGCTGCATGGCTGGGCGCGAGGGGCAGACATAGCAAAGCAGCGTGCTGGGAAGCAGAGACTGGAGATGATGTAGATGTGGTGTAACCACAGCTGGCATGACTTGAGTACAGAGTTCAAGAGGGAGCATCATAGCATGGCCCTACTGTGTGCTCTGTGGAGGAATGAGAACTGTCTGCAACAGGATCCTGACAGCACTTCAGGCGTTTGCCATGTTGAAGGTGCTGCTGTGGTCTTTAAGTTCTAGCCTGGCCTTAAGGCGGCCAACCATGGGATTGAGGAAGCGCCGCCAGGAATATAAACCCTGCCCCGGAAGATGACAGCTGGATAGCAGTGAGGTGTGCATGAAACAAAACAGCGCAAAACAGTAGGCAAGAAGGATTTCGCTAAAAAATTTGCTGTTTCTTGCCAACCAACAAAGTTAAAAATGCAAGCTGCCATTTGGTGATTAAATAGGAGATGCAATATCATAAAATCCATTTTTACCCATCTTTTTTTTTGGAATCATTTCTGGGTTACCCAGACATTATGCTTTGCCAAGAGAGAAGCTGGAATGGAGACGGGGGATGAGTGGTCCAGAAAGGAGTTTGAGGGGGGTCCTCGAGACCTGGGTACTAGTCTAGGTACCCCCACTAACCACGTCTGTGGACTTGCCCTCTGGATCAGTTCCTCGAGCTATAAGTAAGTTTTAGTAGATGCCGCTGAAGTCCATTACTTGCAGCTATAACACTGGGATTCTAGACTATATATCCACTGTGTGTGTGTGTGTGTGTGTGTGTGTGTGTGTGTGTGTGTGTGTGTGAGAGAGAGAGAGAGAGAGAGAGAGAGAGAGAGAGAGAGAGAGAGAGAGAGAGAGAGAGGTGGGGGGGAGGGAGGGAGAGAGATTAAGGTGCCTGTCAACCTTCTCGGACCATGCACTGCAGATGTCCCTTCGCAGTCCCTTGGCCCTATGCCCCGTGTATTCATCAGTGTGAAAAGGACGCTGCCTGCCTGTAGGGGCAGGAATGGGCACAGGGCAGGTTTTCTATGATTCCAGCAGACAGGGTAAGGGAGGACTCAGAGTCCTAGAGCCCTCGGTGGTTTTTCAGGCTTTTATTGGGATTTACCAGGTATCCAACAGGCAGGGGTGCTGGGGGGCCAAGAGGTTGGCAGGCTTCCCAGCCCCCAGCAAGTCTTCACTCTGTCTGGGCTCTCTGGTGATCTCTGCTGCTCTGCTCTCTCATAGTTCTGCTTCTGCTTCTACTGCTTCTTTTCTGCTGGCGTCCCTGTGATGCCGCCCTTAAAAAGCACAGTCTCAGCTCAGGTGAATCCCATCTACCTATGCCCACACCCTACTCCAGGTGCCCGCCATCAGGCATGCATTCGAGACCACAGGGTTCTATCATCTATCCTAATGGCAGGAGGGCAGAAAAGCCTGACATTTTTTACCTTACCCTACAATCCAACCCCTTAGGGTTTTCTGCCAGACAGTCTATACAAGTCATATACGTTTCACTTGGCAATAGAACACCGCAGCCATGGCCCACAAAGCAAATGAAATATATCACAATATAACAAAATACAACAGAACACAAATAAGTCCAGGCAGGGCCCCAACCCAGTGGCAAAAGACAACATTATTGGCACCAGTAGATGATCCACCACTCCTGCTGCCAAAGGCACTGCTCATACGAGAGAGGAACCACTCATGGCATCTGCCACCACACGCCAGGAGCCGTCAGGCTTCCTGGCTTTCTCCGGCTGCAGTGTAAGCCACAAGCCGCACACCGCATGCACTCCCAGGAGGCACTCACTCTTGGGTTGGCGATTCTGTCCTGTTGGGGGTAATCGCCAACCCTTAGGGTTCTGTCTGCGGTCCCTCCAACACTCGGCTCTCATAGCCACCCATGCGACTCGCAGACCCCTGCACTCAGGCCAACCCTCTGCACACGCGCATGGGTCAGGGCTCCGTGGATACAAGCTCCTCATGCGGCCTCTCTTGGGTCCCCTCTTAGGCTTGGGCTCCACCACAAGCCACGTTCCCCACCTGTTCCCCAAGGACGGGTTCCTCAGCTCCCCACCCTCACTCAACCCTGAGCAGGGCATCACCCACGGTGATTTCAAGAGACTCGCTGGCCTTCAACATATTTAAGCTGCATAACAGCCACTCAGGGCTTCTCAATCTTAGCACCAGCTTTTGCCTTCTCAATTGGCTTTTCTCCTCTGCCTGGCTGCTGGGCAGTACACCAGCTGCTTTTGGCCACCAAGGCCCACTGGCCACCCCCAGATTCCCATCTCCGGGGGTGTACAAACAATCCTTCCCCAGGGCCCCCAAAACATATCAAACTTGCCAAGGCCCTCTGCCTTCTGGCAGGATTGTTAGTCCATTAGTCCATCAGTCTCTTGGCCTCTCCCTGCATCAGCACTGGCGAGCTCCGAACAGTGGTCCTTTCTGCCCCGATGATTCTGCTGCCTCAGGGGTCATTGGCTGGTCCTCTCGGGCGTCTCCTCCTCCAGGCGAGGTCTCGTCCCATAGCTCCCAGACCCTGTCCATCTCCTGTGCCACCATGCCATGTGCAGAGTTGTCACAGGCTCACACAGTCTGTTACTTCTCAGTCCCTCCAGGTCTTCGGAGGGCTCCATACCCGTCTGCATGGAGCATCTTGCCGACTAAGCCAAATTGTAAGTGCAGGACAGGAAGGCCACTGGGCAGGTTTTCTATGATTCCAGCAGACGGGGTAAGGGAGGAGTCAGAATCCTGGAGCCCTCAGTGGCTTTTCAGGCTTTTATTGGGATTTACCGGGTACACAGCAGGCCGGGGGGCCGAGAGGCTGGCAGGCCTCCCAGCCCCTAGCAAGTCTTCACTCTGGGCTCTCTGGTGATCTCTGCTGCTCTGCTCTCTCGTGGTTCTGCTTCTGCTTCTACTGCTTCTCTTCT